CATTTCATTACATCGTTGCCTTCACTATAGGTTATTAAAAAGCTGCATGAAAATAAATATATAGACAAGAAATATGCCAACTACTTCACATGTAACAACGGATTGTTTCCTAAAATGTATTTTTTACCAAAAATACATATGAATGGAATACCTTTGAGGCCTATCGTTAGTTTTGTTGGTTCTCCCGCCTATAGACTTTCGAAATATATTAGCGGAATATTTGGCAGACGGTTTCGAAAAAGATGAATTCTATGTGAAAGATTATTTCGAATTTTCTACTTTTATCAGAAATAACATTATACCTGAGCATTATATTTTAATTTCTCTTGACGTGATATCTCTTTTTACTAACATTCCTATAGATCTATTGATTAGTATAATTAGAAGAAAATGGGAAATCATTTCAAACTTTACCACTTCAGCTATAGATCGTTTCATGGAAGGTTTTGAATTCTATATAGATTCCAATTATTTTTGTTACAATGGATCTTTTTACAAACAAATGTTTGGGTAGAGAATGGGTAATTGTATGTCACCCATTTGTGCAGACTTGGTCATGGCAGAACTGTTGATTCACAAATGGATCAAAAACACCTTCCGGTTCCGATGCAGGTGTTTTTAGTCGCGGACCCAGGACAGAGATATCAACCAAGTTAATAAAAATATTCTCGGAAAGTTGAGCGTCGTTGGAAGCTCTTTGCTCTACCGAGCAACGTCTGAATTGGTAGCAAATTGCCAAAAACGACTCTCCTCAATAGTAAGACTTAACAGTTGAGACTAATCCATCCCAGATGGTGCGTGGTATGGCGGAAAAACTGGGCATCAGCTCCCATGCGATTTTTGATGGTTTGAAATGTGATTTAAAGGTCACGTGTGATGAAAAGTGGATCCTCTACGATAACAGAAGACTTTCTGGATAGTAGCTGGACACTGATGAGCCATCTGGGCACTTCTCAAAGGTGGAACCCCACCAAAAAAAAAATTTACTGTATGGTCATAGTGAAAATCAACCAGTAAGTCCACTCCCACTACTTCCATTCATAAATTCATAAAGTTCTCGCTGACCTCGAAACCAAGTGCGGAGCCAATTTCGTTCTTGTACCATAGGCGTGAGCTCATATGAAAACGAAATTTGAATATTATAGAAGATTTTGTGATAAGTCACTTATAATCAACTACAAAAACTGAAAACAACAATAACAACAGCGAATAAACCAAACACAATATCAATTTCCGACCGTTTTTTTTTGTTCTTTGGGAGCTGTCTGACTTGTTCATTTAGTCCAAGTTCAGAAAACACTGCAGCCTCTTGGGCTTATTGCTTTCATTCTCCCATCTTCTCATGACACCCAGTCCATCAGTCTCGTTCCCTGTACTAGTTTGCGCAGGTTCCGTGTTGGATGTTCGTCATATTCTTCTGATCGTAATTTTGTACGTCCATATATTGCCTGCCTCCTGTGATTCAGTGCCTCACATTCGCATAAGATGTGTAGAGCTGTTTCTATCCCTTCGTTGCATAAACTGCAGCTGAGGTCTCTGTTGTACAGCCCCATTTCAATCAGGTGTCCTCTAAGCGGACAATGACCGGTTAGTAACCCTGTAATTATTCTGAGCCGATCCCTATTATATTGAAGTAGTTCTTCGGTTCGTTTCTCGGACGATTCCCTAATGAAGGTTCTACTGTAATTGTTGCCAGGTGCTTTTGTCCAGTACTCTGTGTGCTTCTTATTGGTCCAAGTCCTAATCTGGTTCCGTACCAATGATTTTGGTACCCCCAGAGCTGGTTCAGACCAGAAACTGAAGTTGATAATCCGTGTCTAGCGCATTCATCAGCTTCATCATTACCTGTGATTCCTGAATGCCCTGGCACCTAGTACAAAGTTAATTTGTTCCTGTTTGCAAGGTCATTCAGTTTTTCATGGCATTCCCAGACCAGTTTTGATGTTACCTTTGGGTTTGTCAGAGCCCCTAGTGCGCTCTTGCTGTCTGTTAAAATATTGATCCGCTCATTTCTTTGAGGTCTCAATTCAATAAGCCTTGTCACTTATAACCAACTACAAAAACTGAAAACAACAATAACAACAGCAAATAAACTAAACACAATATGAATTTTTGACCGATTATTATAACTAATCTCATGCCTGTGGTACCGTCGAATCCTTTGATACTGCAGCACTGAATGCATGGAATGAGAATCTTATCCTGAAAGCGGTTGAAGGTCCCCGAAAACTTGGGCGGATCAGGTGGTAAGAGAGACTACTGGTTGTATTTATTATTCTACTGTGGTATGGTGGTCAGTGGCTTATGTGGTTCACCATAATTTTCTGTTACCAGACCAAACCATTCAAGGATAGTGATATTATGAGGAAAACGACGAAATGTACAGAAAATTGCGTCAGCAGCAGCCCGCACTGGTCAACAGAAGAGGTCCGATCCTTCTCCACGACAACGCTCGTCAGCGTACTTCACAAATCACCGTTCGGAAAAATCTCGAGCACCCCATTTTCATGCTGACGAATTCAACCAACATATGTTACGTTGGTAAAAGTGCACTGACCTAAATGGCGCTTGTTTCGATTGAATTGAATAAATAGTTACTGAGATATTACAGTTTAAACTCATGAGAATGGTCGAAGCTTTTGAAAAAACATAATACATTTATTTAAGGCACCCAGATGACTTCAATCCGTATCTTCCGAACATCTCCAGTAAATTGAACACATGAGGAGTAACACCAGGAATTTTCTAAAATCTATTCTGAAATTATCAGCCAACAATAACACCCTATAGTGGCGATCCTTACCTTGGTCTCTTCATCAGGACTTGAATGTCATTATTGAAACAAACCCTCCTTTGCCGTTGTTGGAATTGCCAATCACGTGCTGGTAGGATGTTTTCTGTACTTTTAATTTCAGATAGAATTAAATAACTATCAACACCAATTTTGTTTCAAAAACCTTGTGTTTCCAACAATTAAACTCAGAATAACATCCGCACTCACCTGTTTAATGCAGGTTATACTATCAACTGGACAGGTTTCGGAAAAATCGCATCATTTTATATCAAAAATAATAGAGTTAATGAAATGTTATTGTTATGCGCGACTGGAAACTGATTATATCGTATGGATCGTATGGAAAACAGATGTGGATATGTGATTCAGTAGTGAAGTTTGTACTTTGAAATTAATTAGGAAAACCCTACATTTCATTACATCGTTGCCTTCACTATAGGTTATTAAAAAGCTGCATGAAAATAAATATATAGACAAGAAATATGCCAACTACNGCAACTACAGAGTCCTGAGGAAGAATTCAAATAAATTCGAAACATCGGCAAGAATATAATTGTTTTTTCAAGAAAAAAAATGATCCTGTTACCTGTTAATGAACTATCATAGTGGGAGAATGCAAAAAATGTATCGTCATAGTCTATTGACAATATCTTTTGTTTGAAGCAGTCAAAGATTCTGGTGACACTATTTTCTGCCTTTCCCTTCAGTTCGCTTCAGTTGTCAGCACTGCACAGAATAGCTGTGTCATCAGCAAAAAAAGTTGGTAATACAGAGGCTTCATATTTGAGTATTTCGTTGATATATATATATATCGTGAAAGGAATTGGCCCCAGGACTGTACCTTGAGGTGCCCCACATTCAAGAATTCTGTTTTCACTGATGATGTTATCAATTTTGACACATTTTTTCGCATCATTGATTGATCATTAGACTGAATGTGTTTTCTCTGAATCTCAGGCCCTACGAGGTCTCCAACAGATGTATGTGATTCACGATTTCGAAGGCCTTATCAAGGTCTGAAAAGAAAACGAGGAGACGATTTGGAATTTTTCAGATTTTTCAGTATTTTTGGTGTGAGCAACGAATAACGTCTTGTAAAATCTTTTGTCTGAATTCAAACTGGTTTATGGAAATGAATCAATATTTTATCAGCCACCAACTTTTGTTTTATTATAATCACATTCTGAATAACTTGCCCAGTGGAGACTTCTTATCAAGGTGCTACTGTAGGTTTTCTATCGGAGTTTCTGTGCAGCTAAAAACCTGATGCACCATTTGGAAAAGGAAACTCTAGATTACTTATTTTGCATTGTATATTATTGGCACAATTTTTATATTCTGTTCGTTTTTGTATTGTTAAGATGAATGACGATTTTCTTTTATATCCAAAGACAATCGGTAGAATAACCAAAATTACGTATATTAGAGAAATGTTTAGAATACTTTGGTGATTTGTACAATACTCTCAGTCTATCAGAGAGTTTGACTGTGATTCCGAGCTTTATTTTGTCAAATCGACCGTGAGTTTTTTATGACCATTCAATATAAAGAAAACAACCATCTGGATAAGCAGAGGATCGGGTAGGTCGTTCTATTGAAGATATCGTTTGCATGAATCAAAAAGAAGTTCAGTCCAATAATTGAACCTTGTGGTATGCCTTTTGAAAAATAGTTTAGAGGAGAATGCACTCCTTACCACAGATAAAGACTACTTCGGAAGAAGTAGTCTTCAACACCTCTCGGTTGTTTTTCGGTGACAGAAACCATATCAATGTTTGTCTTTGATATTCCTAATTTCAAAACCATACATGGTGTCTTTGTTAGGAGAATCATCACCAATTTCTACTCAGGATTGTCATGTTTAGAACAGAAACAATCGCAATTCAAACATAGCTTTCTCAAACGGGCTCAGTACCACTGATAAGATATATGACAGATCAAAATGGCGGTTCTTGGTATTGGATTACGGATCTGAGATTTTGGGCTCTGGTATTATCCAGTGTGTAATGGGGCAATTTTAAAACTCAATCTGATGATTACCTACAGACTGATTTGTTTTCCAGAACGAGCGAAACCATACCAAAAAGAATTCAAATTAACTATAGTTTCTGAACTTAGTAGACTAGGGAAGAAGTAGGTTACCTAAACTGCAATAGAAACTACATTAACCTGGGTTTGTTTCCTGTTACATTAAAGACCATTTTTCATTGAATTTTATTGAGTATCATCAGTACAAAATCATCCTACTTACTAGTTGATTCAGCTTAAAACATTAAAGCTGTAGAAAAACAATAATTTTGTTCCTTTATCTTTCAGACATATAAAATCATTCATTCATCATTGTCTTGCGATCTCTGTCAGATTCGTTGACCTAATGCCTTGAATAAATTCTGATGAATGATCCAATAAGTTCAATAATTTCTTATCAAATATCACTGTTACGTCAGTAAGCGCACGTTTTTTGAAATTGTTCGTATGGAACATACCACACATTTGATGTATGGAAAAAATGTTCAGAAAAATTCAGTCGTAAATTCAGGAGAAGCTGTCGCCATCTTCAAAACTTAATAATTCCCCTTCATTGCGCTTCTCCTGCAAATCCTCGGCAATGCCCTGGAAAATTTCTCTGAATACCATCGGATCAATATTCTTAGAAAGGTAAACCAAGAATAACCAGTCACTGAAGTTGCCATAGTTGGAAACCGCAAGAGTTTTCCAAGGGTTCAAACGGCCAGGGCAAGAGTTTGCAAACACAAACCTGTAGAGCAAAAAAAAAATTAAAAAATTGAGTTTCGGTTAATTACAGTTATCCATCTGTAATTCAAAAATTCAATAGACCTGACCGTTACATGATGCAACCAAATCAAAACTAAGTAATAAGAAGAGAAAGCTATTGTAGAGTAAAGTAGAGATGAGTAGAGTTTTATTTACCCATGTTACGTATGAATACATTTATGGAAGCTCACAGCACATAAAAAAATTGCAATGAAAATGAAATGTTAAACACATAAAAGAAATACATATAAAAACACATTATTTAAAAATATCTATAGGCTGACCAAATGATCATTTGCTGTTAAAGTATATTATAAACTATGGGTACTTCAATAAACTTGTTTACTTCAAATATTTTTTTAAGGACGAAACACAATCATTACAGGAAAACTCTTGAGGTGCTCTAAGAGCGGTGCCTGTGCGAAAGTAGTGATTCACATTGGATTTGAATTGCTGGAAATTAAATCCATTTGGAAAAACGTTCCCAGGTTGAATTTAGTTGAACCTCAAGTCACTTGAACACTTCCTGTGAAAGTATCTATAGAAGATAGACAAATCTCCAACCTTTCTTCGATGTTCCAGACTGTCAAGGTTGCAAGTGATGTTAGCGTCTCCAATCAGGCAAATGGTTTTTTTTATGGATATGATCCAGCAACTTCAGGGTATGCTTAGGAGCGTGGTTCTATATTACATGAGAACAATAATCCAAAGAAGTTCTGATTTGAGCTTTATGAAGCATCAAGAGTTTATGAGATGTGCACAGTTTTCTGTTTCGGAACAGTGTTACAAGCTTTTGGGAAGCAGCCTTTGCAATTCCAGCGACATGATTGTGCCAAGATAGTGCAATTTTAATCCCCAACAAACTTATCGAAGTGGAAAATGACATTGTCTGACCTGACATTATTATATCCGTTTTGGACACAATTACCTTTTTGGTGAAAACCTATTCCTGGATTTTTGTGGCATTGAATCGAATCTGATTATTTTCACACCTATTCGAAATTTTATTAAAACAACGATAAAAATAGAAAACAACAATAAAAATTAATTGGCGCTCCGGGCGACTTCATTGATTCCAGTGGCGCATTTGCTCTTTCAGCTGCAGGAAAACCCGGAAAAACCTGCAGCACCACATCATCTGTAGATCTTGATCTACCAATGTCCTCTCTCTTATAAAACAAAATGTAGGGTGTCCCCAGAGGCTCCAATAGCTTCAATATATCGCCAGAACACTTCGTTACATGACTATCGTCAAACTTAAACCAGTCCGTTTCGTCTTTGAGCAAGGCGTAATAATGACCAAATTCAACGCCAGAACCACAGTGAACAATGACTGCATGAATATTATAATAGTGGTCTGCTAGATTGAAATGTTCATCTATTTCGAACCTTCCAAAGAGTTTCTTGCTTCCGTCAGAGGTTGAGTCTTGTTTAAAGATCATCAGTGTCATTATTAGATTGACTGGTGCCTCAGCTATACTTGCACGGACGAAATTAATTCTAAATCCTCATTAAGATATGCAAGCTCCTGCTGCCGGTGAAGACGTGCATCCGCCGCCGATGTGGAATCCAAATAGACTAACGAAACAAGTGTGCTGTCGTCAGCAAAGCAATATATTGGAATCTTGTTTTTTTTTGCAATAAGTCGTTGATGAACAATAAAAAGAGGGGGAACGGCCAGGGAACGGTTAGCTCTGTCCGGGACTGCTGAATGGCTGCAGGGTGATATGCGGTCACTAACGATCCTCTTGGTAACAGTAACAACAAAAAAAACAATCCTGAGGCTGGACAGATGTGCTCACCTCAATCTAAGGCAGTGGTTGGGGATGAACAGAAGTGTCCACCCCAATCTACCGCTTGGAATGAAGCTGGACATAGCAGATCACCTCGTGATGTAATACAAAGACAAAGGCGTAACCGCATTTGCGGTGCCGAGGCCAAAAGATGAAAAAGAGCGAAAGACCCCCACTCCACCTCCAACAGCGGCGGGCGCCACGAGCTCCGCCTTGAATGAAGGCAAGGAACCGGCTGCCCCTGCAGGAAAGCTCCCACACTTGTGCACCTTCACGGAGGGAACCCCAAGAGGAGTACAACTCCTCGGGAGGGTATGGCCTAAGTGCTGTGGTTCTATATTCACCCTCCCTACCATACAGATACAGATGTATCTCCAACAAAACGATGTGATGTATGATGAAGGCACCTGTATAATACCAAGCTGAATAAAGTGTAGATGACAGTGGTTTATGTATAATACATTTGCTAAAATACGAATGGCTTCTTTGTGATATCGCAATACTATTAATGCGTTACTTGAGTTGCCCAAAGTGGAACACCATGATGTAATAGTATAGAATGGAATAAAGAAAAGTGAGGTATTTTTAATACGTTTGGATTGATTACTGGTTTGAGTTGTCTTGGAATAAATAGAACTCTAGAGAGCTTACGAATTACATAATTTACGTGGCTGAACCAGTTCAACCGATCGTCTATTATTATACCAAAAAAATATACACTTTGTCTTCCCTGATACAGTGGATTCGAGAAGACAATTGAGGTCTGTGTTTTATTTTCATTTAATTTTTGTATATAATGTTTGAACCAGCTTTTGACGAAGTTTTTTTCTCGTCAACAGTTTGAATCAAATGGATTTCCCACTAAGCAAATATAATACATTTTGTTGGTATAATACTTTGACATTAGTTGTTTACGTATACAATAAATGAAAAAGGTCCAAGTACTTAACCCTGTGGTACTTCATGTTGTATCAGTTCGATGTCGAATTTGGCATTATTAATATCAACACACTGATACGGGTTTTCGAAATAGGAGCTGAGAAGTCTCAAAATTGTACCTCTCAAACCATAATGACTTAATGTTTGAGAGCTTTGGTCAAGTCGTATAAAGTCAAGGAAGTGTGTGTGCACCGATCAAGACCTACACACATGTCATTTACCACCTTGTAAACAGCCTGACTTGTGTATTCGTTTTAGGATTCACTAATATAGAATCTTGTTTCATAGTAGGCGAAACACGTGTCGTGATTTTGTAATATATCTTTTACAGAGATTTGTTGACATGCATTATTTTTTCGCGTGATGAAAACTGTTTTCATTTTTCTATGTGAAACCCATCAGCTCGAAATGAATGAGGTTCACAAAAATTGTTTTCACTTCAAGAAAAACAGTGGCGTCTCACATTCGTCTTCAAGATGGTTCAGAGCATATCGTGCATGGATACCACTGGCAACAAGAAAATATTGATTTGCAAAACAGAAAATGCCATTCGACTCATAGAATATAGGTATCAGATTTCACAAAAATATCTAGAGCCACATCAAATTTACTATAAATCCTTTTTTTCTTTTAAACTGTTGCCTTCTGTAGTTAAAACGATGAGACTTTCAAGACGCATGTTTATGTGAACGTTATTTACGAAATATACTCAAAAATTACCTTCGAAACATCAGTTAGGAAACACTCTGTACATTAAAATTGCTAAAAATTATGAAGATTTTCATGCAAATTCACAAAAACATGATCGTTAATGATATTATAACCTGTTTATACACATTCCTAATTGTTATTTTGAATCATAGTATAACCTAATCAAATTTAATTTTTTTATTGATGATAGGACTCACTTGTTGAATGTCGTGCTCCTGGCGTGTAAAATAATGGTAAGTAATCTCCAGATGAGACCCAATATCGAACAAATGAGGAGAAAAATGAACCAAAACCATAAACCGGTGTAAATTTTGTCGTTTATGATGTTTAGAGCCATCACACACATCGCATCGTGGTACTGGATGGAACCAGAAGGACCGTATTTGTGGAACGTGCACTTCGTTATCTGAAACAGAGGGCAAAATATTAATAGAAATAGATGAGATGAAATAGACATTAAATAATACCATTCATAACTCAAAAACGTGATAAAGAATTTCACGTTTTTTGATTTGTCGGATTTGCCTCCACCAGGAGTGATGAAATAATTATTGAGACATTTGAAAAATCATTTCAAATTAACGAGGTTCGGTTTGTTGGGTTATGACAGTTGTCATAGTTCGCGCAAAGATAATTGAGGTTATGGCATTTGTGATCGATTGTGAGCGCATGATTGAATGTCATGTCATAATAGAAGAAAAGTTAGCAATATCCATCGCAGTGTTATTTATAAGTCCACTAGCGAGAAGATCGAAATATCCACAACGAAGCCGTAATGCCATTCGACTGTGGAGTTACAATACACTGCAGAAGAAAAAGAAATCGCACAACAGGAGCGCCGTGTTGAGTATCGCCAGGTCTCTGTTTTTGCAGTAAAACTCCTCCTTTCTTTAAGACAATATTATTCATTAACCAGGCATTTGGTAATGTGAATGTCAATGAACGCACTGTTTGACGTTCGTTTGCGAAATTTTATTCCGGAGATTTTGTGAAGATGAGCGTCCTTTGCTTTTGCGCATCTTTTTTTGGATTAGATCGTCACGTGCGATGAGAAGTAGATACTTTACAACAGGAGGCGTTCAAGACACTGGTTGTATGAGCCACCCAGGTACTTCCTGAAGGCGAAAAAGCAACCAAAAAAGACCATGGTAACTGTATGGTGATCCACGGATGGTTTGCTCCACTATAAATTTCTGCAACCGGGCCAAACCAACACAGCGGAGTCGAGTTGGGCATCGAAATTCTGCCTCACCCGCCATACTCACCAAACCTCTCGCCAACTGACTACCATCTTTCACAGCAGAGTCCCACTATGAGGAAATCGACGGAATGTACCGAAAATTGCGTCAGCAGCAGCCGGCACCGTCCAAAAATTGAACGAATCGAACCAGACCTCTCGCCAACTGACTAAGATCTTCTCAAGCAACGGTAGAACCTTTGCCAATCAGGACCATGTAGAAGCGGTGTTTCTGCGGAAGTTTCATTTGAAACGTTTGTCTTTGTTCATTTCGTTCATTCAATTTTATAGTATGTTTGTGTCAGTTTTCCGCTTCGATCCTGAATAAAAACCAATTGAGAGTGTGATTTCTAAATAAAAAGTTGTTGTTGACGGTACGAAAATTATCTTCTCATTTCTTGTTCAAGTCTTGACCAAGTTGAAAAACAAAACCAAGTCAGATACGAGCGATATTCGTCTACTTCATCGAATCCAAAGCACTCAGTTTTAATGCCGACGAAATTAAAGACTTGTGTAACGTTGGCAAAAGTGAATGATTCAAATGACGCTTATTTCAACTGAGATATTACAGTTGAAAGTATGTACTATGTATCTATAAAATATGTTTTCACTTTTATGACCTGACCTAACAACACTGGCCATGTTAGTGTAGCCTAACTACATGCTTTACAAACACAAGACAACGTTTAATAATTATCAGACGGTACGAAGTTTGTCGGGTCAGTTTTCAAAACAAACGAAATTCAAGCCCTAGGCTTACCGATCGATTTTCACTTGCTATCGTCTAACCCGTGTTAGGAATCACACGTTAAAAGATAAGACCTCGTTAGTTCTTAGCCCGCACAAGTTTCGAATTCTGAGGGTTGTCGTTTGTAGGTGTGCGACAGCTGGTTAACGAAAAAACAGATAAATAAACAGACAGACAGATAAATAGTGCTGAGTTCAGAACAGAGATTTATACAAAATGTTTCAAGTGTGACGACAAAAATATACTAAGCAATAGGGTTACAGAAATTGCTATCAACATGTTCATTGACACTTTATGTAAAATGATAAAAGAGTCGGACCGAGAACCGATCCTTGAGGACCCTCAAATCGTATAAATTTCCAAGACGATTGCATAGATACGAACTTCACCGAAGAGGATATCGTGATTGACGAACTAAACGCCTTAAATAGATCACAAAATACTGGTACAATTGCAGAAGCCGAATATAATAACAGACATTTCCAGAAATGATGGAAACTGACCAATTTCAAACTGTTGAGTGCAATTATGATCCAAAATAGTTCGAGAAAGATCTCATCGATATGCAGTTTCTATTATTTCATAGTTTTTCTGATTGTATACACTAATTCGTCTAATTTGGATCACTTCACATGACCGGCTCAGGCAGCTGCTTAGTCGCCTAATTCACTGATTCCCTCTTTTGTTTATTTCTTGACTGCAATTCAAATTATTTTCTACCCAGCACGTATTTATAAAAGTACCGCTACATCACATTCTCCTCGGCTGCACTAAAAACAAATGACCCAAGTTTCTGTATTTATTAGTCACTCGTTAGGCCATTTGCGATGCTGAGCACGTTTTCTCGTGTACTTTATATTGCATCTCGCCGCAGGTAATAATCCGTGTGTGTCAGTTAACGGCTATTCATTACCGACATTTTCTCCATGTAACAACATTCGCCGCTCATTTTTCTCATCGAACAGTGTTGCCAATCCAACAAAAGTTGTCTTGCTAGAGGTTGATGTCAAAAATCCAACCGAAAAAAGCGAAAAAACGGACGCATAGTTGAATCAAAACCTCAAAAATCCCTTCGGTATCTGAAATTTCACGAAATGCAGTTCAATGAAAAAGGTAACAAAAATGAACAAACTGATCAAAAGATTATGAGATATAAGCATCGCCTCATCGCCATTGATGTCTGCCGCAGTTGCAGACAAAATATCAGCCCCAAAAACTTGCAGATCACCGAAATCGTCAAGAGATTTGTTAATAATATTCCTCATTGGAGCTATGAGGAATTCAGAATGAGCCATACTCTATTGTCGAAGTTGTGTACTAGATGAAAATACATAATGTATCTTAGTATATAAGTAGTCATTATTGAGTGTGTATTTCAGTACTGTTATATTGTTTCTTCATTGAAAGCAACTCCTATTCTATCCATATGTTCTGTAACATATAATCTTGATTTCACGACTTTCAAACCAAGCACTTTTCCCAACCACCAGAACTGGAATACTCTTCTCGACGCGCATAAACCAAGTTTGCATCTTCAGTAAATGAAGAGAATAGTTTTCTGCTGCACATTTCGGCCTGGATGGCTACAGGTCACTCAAGAGGATCAGGAAAGCGCCTTCTGGCTGATGGAGGCATTCAGTATCCTACAGTCATGAAATAACGTGTCCTCTAAATTCGATACAGGTGACCTACTTCCCAAGCAACACCTTCGTGTTGAAAGAAGAGTGAAATTGGATCTAATCACTATAACACGTCTTCCACCAACCAAGTTGGCTTCTCCAGAAGATGAAATAACCTTTGCGTTGCTTATCTATCTGAAGAAGGTACTCGCAGTTTGACCAATGAACAGGTCCTTTCTAGATTAAAGAAAAAGTACTATGGTTTGTCAACATTGAATAATTGTTCTTAAGGAAATTCAGGCCATGGTAACAGATCCCATACTCTATGCCTAACCCGGCGCTTAGCTGATTAGATTCTTAGTCTTTTTTTTACCTGGTGACCTGAAAAATCTTTCACCAGATGAAGTAATCGGATGGAGGCTCGAGTATATCCATTCACTCTAGACCTACCTACTACTACTACTGTAATTCATCAAATTGAACATAATTGTCGTTTTCTGGGAAAGGTACCACCCACTAGGTAAACCCAAACCAGAATCCACAATGCAAATTAACCCACACAAGTATTTTGCAGACTTTTCAAAATATCTCACGAGGAAGGGGTTTTCCTTCTTGTTGGAAAATTGCTCACGTTCAGCCTATTCCAGAAAAAGGCAAGAAAAATCTTCCAAATAACTATAGACCAGTCACTTTGCTATAGGTGATATCAACAATCATAGAGAAAGCCGTAAACCACCATATATTCAAATATTTGGAAGGCTTCAACATCTTGAGCGATAATCAATATGGCTTTCGGAAACAAAGATCAACGGCGACCTTCTATCGTATGTCACCCAAATTTTTTGGAATAACGTAATCGAGAAACATGGAGAATCAAGAGCTGTAGCGCTTGATATTTCTACGGCCCTTGACCTTATGTGACATGAGGGTTTGATGGCCAAACTTCGATGCTGTGACTTGTAGGATTATTTTTGTGTATGGCTTTCCAGCTCCCTGAAAAAAAGTTTCCTGCAAGTGGCCCTCGATGGATATCTCTCGAATACTTTGACAATCAACGTTGGTGTTTCCCAGGAATCCATACTGTCTCCAACCTTCGTTTTATTGTATATCAACAACTTAATGGAGAACACTAAGAATACAACATATTGCTTTACTGACGACAGCACACTTATCTTGTATTTCCATTTGGATTCCAGGACATTGGCTGTGAATGCACAACTCCACCGGCAGCAGGAGGTTCCATATCTTAATGAGGATCTAGAAGTGCTTAGGAATTGGGGTGAAAGTAACCAAGTTCAATTCAATGCCACAAAAACCCAGAAATCGGGTTTCTCCTTAAAGATAATAGTTTTCAAACTGGATATAATAATGTCAGGACAGACAATTGCGCTTCCTGCTTCGATAAGTTTGTTGGTGGTTAAAATGGACACCAATATGTCTTTGCACAATCATGTCGCAGGAATTGCAAACGCTGCGTCTCGAAAGCTTGGAACTTTTGATGCTTTATGTAGCTCAGATCAGACCTTCTATGGAGTATTGTTCTCATGTATGGAGCTCCGCCCCTAAGCATACCCCGAAGCTGCTGTATTCTTTCCAAAAAATAGCCATCCGCCTGATTGGAGACGAGAACATCACCTGCAACCTTGATAGTCTGGAACAGCGGTACTCAACCTTTTTTCCCCTTGGGCCACATAGTCGCTACTGCTAGACCTTGCGGGCCGCAATAATAAAAGTGAATTGAACACTTTTCAGGTTTTGCGTTATTAGAGTTAGACGTTGTATGTAAAATACAATAAAACGCA